CCACACACCACAGCCACACAGCCCCTAAAGGAAAGGGAGAAATGCACCAAATGCCACAGTTACAGAGCAGAGGAGACAAGACCATTTGACCTGCCACCGCAATGACAGACAATTTGTCAGAGTAAGATGTGGTCAGCAGATCAGAGAAGAGGAAAATTCCCAGAGTAGAGAACAAAGACAAAAGAGACTGACTGTGCCACAATTCCTAACCCTGCAAAAGCTCCCTTTGCACTAAAGCAGATGCTAAAGAGAGGAGCAGAACTGGCTTTGCTGCTCTGGGAATCATACTGCGAGTAAAGAAACTAGCAGAGTGGGCAGGTGCCCCCGTATTGCAAGGAAACAACCTCTTGCTTATGTATGAACCCAAAAGTATTAAATAAATATATAAAAGGGGAACATTTTCCACTACCTAAAATGAGGAAAAATATTGATGGACTTGTTATGTTATAGAAGTTTTTATGCTGGCATTGCCATTGAGATGATAGCAGGTGCTTTTCTACCTACAGAGGACAGGTTTATGCATATTCCAAAGCTGCCATTTGGGTGTGCTATGTGCCTGAGCTATTTCAACTGGGAGAGAGAGTGCTGAGGTTTACAGTGTAATTTCAATTTGGGGAGAAACAGTAGAAGAGTATGACCAGAGGTTCTGAACAATCTGAGCTACACAAATGCAAATATAAACTTTGTGCTAAGGAATGGTCATACCTGCAAGAGAGGGATTAGCACAATGTGTACAGAGGAATCACACTAAGGTTGAAGCCATCACTGACCTGCCTGTCCCACCAAACCAGGAAGGCATCTAGATTCCTGTGAACAGTGAACCAGGTAGGGAAATCTGACTTTATTTAGCTGTCTGACTTGGCACACTGAGATCACCACTGGGCAAAGGTGTCCAAAAGACGTGGGATGCAAATCGTTGTAATGAGATTGAGACACTTAAAAAGTGAGATAATGAGGCCATAGCATGGAGATACCGTCACTGGAAAAGTAAAAGCAAGTTGTCTTCACATGCCTTCAAGGCAAGTAATGGCACAGTCCCCTTACTGTTGTGTGGTCAGAAATGGAGAGCAGTGGCTTAGGTGCTAACACAGTATGTCAATACAGTCATTCTGAAGGCAGCTTTGACATTAATCTATGGGGGGAAAAAAGTTCATGTCTTTAGTTATGGGAGGGCCAAATGCACTACACACAAAATAACTGCAATGCTAGAGGAAACTGTTAAGGCCTGTTTCACAAGCCAAAAATATAGGCCCTGTCACAGGGAAAACCCATGTTTGTGGAATAGGAAAAACTGGCCACACTGGAACAAAATAGGCATAGATTTGTTCACATCATTTGAAAGAAAATCTATTTGTCCAAGTGTTATCCTCCCTTCCATGAGATAGCCCTACTTCTGCTAGAAGATGCTACAGCTAACCAAGCGATTGTACATGTGAAGACCATGCTAGATGTAGTATCCTTGGCACAGTACTGTCTGACAATGGGCCATAGTTTGGTGGGCATGAACATAAGTTGCTTGCAGAGATGCCTGAGCTTGGCCATGTTATCACTAGTCCTCATTACCCCCAACCCAACAGACTGACGGAAAGCTGTACAGTAACAATCAAATGCCTACTACTCCAATGGATTGCAGAGTCAGACTGATCTTATTTAGCACTGTTAAATTACAGGCTAACACTAACAAGGCTGGGGTTGTTCTTCAGGTGATGTTTCTCCAACAAACACCTGAAATCACCAAAGACTGGCAGAGGTATAAAGAGAGACAAAGCAAACCTGATGCTATATCGTCCGGGATGTAAGAGATGCCACCAAGTTATGAAAACAAGATGATACATATCTACGATGGGAAATGGTAGTCACAAAGAGAGTGCCCTGTGCACTCTGACTGGTGGGTTTTTATGTGTTTTGGCTTGGAAGGGAAGATATGGCACTGGGGACTGCACCTTTAGGGGCCGAGCTTCCCCAAGGAGCTGGAGGGGTTATGTACAGCCAGATGGAACCAGATGCAGAATAAAGCATGGAGTGATCACTGCACGACACATTGGGCAACCCACAAGAGCAGCCCCCACCCAGCCCTGAGCTCTATTTCCCCCTGGCCAAATAGGCTGAAGAACAGTATTCTCTGGTCACCACATGCCTTTCCATCCCAAAGTCCTTTCCTTTCTGAGTTTGGCAGAGCTTGGGATACAGCGGCTGTAAGTGCTAAAGCAGGGAGTGATTTTTTTCCAACACTACTACCTGGGACCTCTTGATAGTACATTGACAATATTTTATAGAAGCAGGATATTAACTGCTGTGGTTCCCCTGCTTTCCCTGTGGCAGGTTAGGGTGTTAGGGTTGAGGATAGTTTTATGTAGAGTTTAGATTATGTTTGTATGGGATGTTATGGATAGGGATGACCCTGCCTCAGGCAGGGGGTTGGACCAAATGACCTCTGAGGTCCCTCTCAGCCCTACTTCTCTATGACTCTAAGTGCCTTTCGAAGCAGAGCCCAATTTGACCCAGTCATGGCAAGCAAGAGCGCTGCAGTGCATGCCAGGGAGGAAGCGGACGACAGTGTGCTGGAGCATGCATGGGGCAGGGATGACAGAACTTGCTCCCAAGAGGGCCTGAGACTAGTCAGTGCACTGTGATTAAAGACCAATTTGGGATGTGAAGTACCATTTTTCTTTCAAGCTTAAATTGGTGGTGGATTAATGGACCTCGTAAAAGTGACAGACTGCTGGCCCCAGGAAACCAGCCCAGAGAGGACACACAGCAGATTGTATGCAGGCTTCCTCCTACCTGCTCTGCCAAGGCACTGCCAGCTTGTTTGCAGCCCCTCAACTATTCTACAGCTGTCCCCTCGCTCCACCACAGCATCCCTGCTTGTTCCTGGTCAGCCCCCCACCCCCTCACTATCCCACCATCACCCCTAGCTCTTCACCAGTCCGTTTGCACCACAGCAACAGGGGCAGCCTCTTGCTGCCTCTCAGCTCTGCCAGCACCCTGCAGTCCTACCTGCCCCCTCCTCAGGTCCCTTTCTCATTACTTGAGTGCCAAGGCTCATCTGTCCTCAACTACAGTGCACTTGGCTCTTCCAGCCCTGAGCCCAGGAAGGACTCCCCTGACTCCCCCCAGTCCCTTTCCACTCTTATCAAAGCTGGGATTTGAATCCCTGTCACGAGCTAATACATGAGCCCTGGGTTCCCTTTTTACAGCAAATTAAATCCTTGAGGTCAGCAGCTGAATTTCTCCTGGGATCACAAGAGGAGTCTTGGCTTTAGTGTGAGAACAGCTGACAGAGCCAGTCCCAGACCCTGGCCCAAAATCTTGGCTGGTACAAACCCTGGTTGATGCACTAGTGTCACTTTGGGAGGAAGATGCCCCTCACCCCTAAGTGGAGGGTAAGCTTTTTTTGCTGCTGTTGTGGGATGAGGTGGGTGGAGCAGTCATGCAGCTCCTTGCGCTGTGGGCCAGGCGGGCTGAGGCACCCACAGCAGTCAGGGAACACAGCCATGTTCAGAGAAGGGCTGGTCTGAACCTACAGCCGGAGCAGCAAAGGAGAAACAGCAAAAAAAAGTCTCCCTGTAAGGCAAATCCAAGCTGGGTCCGTCTGCCACAGCAGCATCCTTTCCTGCAACAGCTGCCTCAGCTGAGCCCTGAACAAAGAGAGCAGCACTCCAGTCTGTGATCGCACCACTTTGTGTCCCCCTCTTTGTGCTCCGTCCTCCCTTCTCTCCCTGGTCCTACTTTGCAAAGCCACTGGAAGCACTGAGAACAATGCCATTACCTTTATCCCTGTCCCACCAGCAGTCTCCTCACCCCGTGCAGTGGGAACATGGCTCTGGGTCTTGCCCAGGCCACATGGCCACATTGCCCTTTCCTTGAGGCATCATGTGTTATCAGGGGAGGCTAGTGGTGCAGCCTATGGCCCCCAGACATTCTCTGCAAAACAGCTGTTGGAGTGGTACCATCCTCTGGCTCTTAATATCAGCCTAAAGCGAGGACTGCAGAGAAGAGACGTCCCGAGCTGCCCTGTTGTCCCCTCCTCATGGGGCAGGGACAATACAGAACATCCCCCGGCATGGCCCAAAGCAGTTCACAAGGGAGATGCACTGCACTGAGTACCATTATTCTCATCTTATGGGTGGGGAAACTGAGGCACAGCAAGGTAAAGGGATATGACCAAGGTCACCCAGAAGGCTTGTGGCAGAGCCAGAAATGGAACCCAGTTCTGCTGAGTGCCAGTCAGTGCTCCATCCACCAGCCCCCACTGCCTGGGCAAAAGCTGTGCTGACCTGGCTGGCCAGGCTCTGCTGCCGCCTGGGGAGCAGCCACCCATACAGGCAAGCGCTGCTGGGACAACACAGGTCAGTACCTGCTCCCCGATGGAGCAATCAGCCCTGTTCACCTCAGCTGCAGCTGCGTGGCAGGAGGGGATGGTACCATCTTGGGCAGGGCATCCCTCACGATGCTTCTTCCTTCTGAACTGAAGGGGCCTAGCGGCAAAGTCCAAGGGCTGGCACAGAAAATATCCCAAGTCGCTGGCACTGCGGGGGAAATGGCCCTCACCCTCAGGAGCTTTGTCCGCATCCAGTGCCTCTGCTCACAGGAACCGACAGCGAGAAGTTGGGCTAACACATTAAAGCCTGGGCCTCGTTTTCCCTCTGTATGCACCTTGCAAGCAGGTCAACAGCCATCAATGCCAGCCAGTCACCCCTGCAATGCAGCTGGAAGCCAAGGGGGCTTGCAGCCTCTCTACCAAAGATGCCTCAGCCCCTGTCTACCCCCATGTGCTGGCAGCATGTGTCCCCAAGAGCTTCTCAACCCATGTTAGCACTGATCTCCCACCTCATTCAGCAGAGTCCAGGCATAAAGCCGCAACGTGCTCCTGTCTGGGCTGGGGCTTAGAGCAGCCTTGCACCTACTGTTATGCCATGCACACTGAACCCCCACCATCACCACCCTCTGAGCGACCAGACCGCTTTGCAGAGGAGAGAAGGGCCTGGGAGACATACCCTGCTGGGCGCCTGAGGGTGTGCATTGCCCTGCACCATTTTCTTGGTGATGGAAGCCGATTCCCACATGCTGTGGCCTGGGGCCGCCAAGGTCCCTGGGCCCAATGAGGAGGTAGAGATCCCTTTTCCCCAGCCAGGCAGGAGGATGACGATGACTGCACAGCTGTGGAGGAGCTGTGTCTGTGCAGCTCAGGAACAAGCTGGGCTGGGAGTGGGGAGCAGGTGACGCCCACCGATGTTATCCAACCGGTTGCTTTGCCTTTGTTGTGCGCATTTCAAAAGCAAAATCCTCAGAGCCAAGTTTGTACTTTCTGGGGTTGTGGTGGAGCCTGGCAGCTAGGGCGCCTTGGCATGGGATAGGAAGGCAGACCTTGGGGAGGCGCCAGGACTTTCTTGGGGCTCTCTGAGCTGTCCTGACCTGCTGCGCAAAGCTCCCTAAAGCCTCCAGAGCTGGGCCCACACCTGTGCTGGGCATGAAGGCTGAGCCAGCTGCAGGGAGGAAACTCTGAGCTGGCTGGGCCATTGTTCCTGGCTTGCCTCAATGCTGCATCATCAAAACCAAGGGCTCACCACCTCGCTATCTGTTTCCAGGACCCTGCATGCCTCCATTCTCTCCCTCTCTCTCTCTCTCTCTCTCTCTCACACACACACACACACACACACACACACACACACACACACACACACACACCCCCCCCCAGGGGAAGGGGGGCCCGATCTCTCTCTCACACACACACACCCACACACACACACACACACACACCCCCAGGTGAAGGGGGGCCCGATATTAAAAGTTCGCCCAGGGTCACCAGGCATCTCGGTACGGCATTGGGTAGCAGAATCCTTGCACTGTCCCATTGCCCACTTGCATCTACCAGGCAACACAAGGTCACCCCACTTGCACAGTTCTTGCTGCCATCCTGCCCTGTCTCCAATGGGATCCCAAGAGTTAAGGGATTCAATTTCCCCCTGAAACACATCCGCCTGGCAGAATCGCTTTTGCCATTACCAAGGAAGGGAGCAATGCTCTAAGTGCAGGGGGGTAGGAGCAATGCTCTAAGTGCAGAAACTTTCTGCACTGACAGGGACAGGATTAGCAAAGAGCTGCTGGGAGGCAGAGGCGCTGAAAGCAGGCATCTGAACGTGCTGAACCAGTTTAGGGCTTTGACCTTAGCAGCTGCTTAAAGTACTTGGGCCCGCCTACACTTTGTGTGCAGTAGGGTTCCCTACTATGGATTAGCTTTAGCTCTCAGATAGAGTAAACCTACACAGAGAAGACCCTGCAAGAGGATAGTGCTCCTAAGCCCCCGACCCTGCCAAGGAGCATGGGCTGTTGTGCATTGTTATGTTTGTCCTAGGCCTTCGTAAATAAATGGCTCCGGCTCCAAAGTGTGAGAAAGAGTGCCACCAGACTGGCAGGCATAGAATATATTGCAAAGTAAAACTATACGTGCATTGGCATTAGCATATTCAGCAGAAAGTAACTTTAGATTCACACACACAGATTAAACACGTTGTCATATCTCATGTATGACACTGCATAGCAATGGGCTTAGGGGCTGCAAAGCCCCACCCAGCTCATGGCAACCACGTCCTGAGCAACCCCACAATAGATGTTTGGTCCAAAAGGGTACATGAGTCCAGCCTCTTCTGTCCTCTAGTCTACAGAGCCTCCCTTCACACCAGATAGCAAACAGAGATGCTTTAGCACAAACAAACCCAGAGCTTAACAAAGCCAAATTGTGCCATGGTGTGGAAGACAAGGGTGCTGCTGATGCCTCAGGCCTGTGCAATAGTGGGGAATTTGCTATAAAAACATCGGCACAGTCTTCATGGAGGACAGATTCTGAATCTGGAGCAAGGGTTGGAAACATCAAGACTTGTGACAGAGCTAAAACTACCATGCAGAAACGTCCATGCTCCCCGATTGGGCTGTTACACAGAAATGCTGAGCTACTGAAAACTGGCTAGGCTTCCTGTGGCAACACGAAGTCCATATGGGGCCAGCTGCCCAAGTATTTATCTGGCTTCCTGGGCAGGTTTTACTGTCGGTGCTGAACTCTGGGCTGCTGTGATTAGACTGTATCCATGTGTAAGGCTAACTTGGGCATGTCTACAGAACGCTGTGATCATAGAGATGAGGGGCTTGGATGCACCTAAAACAACCCTCTTCTACTTCCCTTCTTCTGCCCCTTGCCTCTCTCTCTGCTGTCTCCCCAGCTCTCTCTCCTCTCCTTTGCTCCATCTCTCTCTAACCCTTGGTGAGGCTAGCAACACAGGGTGCCAGGCTGAAAGGACGCCACGTTTAGGGCTCCATCCCCAGGTCCTTGCTACCATGGTTCTTGTCTATCACTGCCAGATCCCTGATTGCAACTCAGTTCAGAGCCGCAGTGATGGGCATTTTGGCCTTCTGCTGGCTCCTTGGCAGCTTGCATAAGGCAATCCTACTCCAGCCCCTGGAGGCATTTACATTGCAGAACCCACCCATGCCAACTGGTGCCCTTGTCAGCAGAGAGATCAAGAACAGGTCCCAGCTCCTTCTCCAAGCAGTCCCTCTGGGCTAGGGTGGAGTCCTGTTGGCAAAGCCCCATGGAGGAAACTTGTGCTGTTGCTGCTGCCCTTGCTGTTTCTGTTCTATAATTAGAGGACTGCAGTAGCTAGGGCTGCTGCCTGGTCCCTGTTACTCATGTTAAAATCTAATGGATGATAGCTCCTCAGAGCTTATGCATGGCCAGGAAATGCATCAGTGTGTGGTCTGTGCAAGCAGCCTACTGCCCTGGGATGAAGCACCTCTCACAAAGGATCAACAATAAGTGCAGGACAAGAGGGGTAGTGAAGCCAGGAGGGAGAGACTCTGCACTGAAACCAAGGACTCTGAGACTCTGTAGTGAAGCCGGGAGGGAGGAACTCTCCAACCAACTCTGTGTGGCATCTCACCTTCTCTTGCAAAGCTAGGGTGGCCTATTTTGCCACAAGGGAATGAGCAAGCCTGACTGAGCTGGAGGTTGCCCTAATCCTTCAAGTATCTGTTGTTTGGGTTCCCCAAAACCAGCCTGAGCTCACAAACCTTTTTCCTTCTGCAATTTATAGCTCAGCACTGACACACTTGAGAAACCAGGATCCTTGCAAAGCCATATCTTCACTTGGTGCGAACTGCTGCATCCACATTGAAATCAACACAGGGCATTCAGGTCCAACGAGCCCCACCGCTTTGCACCAGCTGAGAGTCTGGCTTCATAATTTACTAGCTAGTTATTTTTCCTGGGGAGGTATGATGGGCATCAGGGACAGAAGACCTCTTGCTAGGGTAAGGGGTGGAGTGACCTGCAGCCACTGAATCATTCTGCTTTTCATGGGGGCAAGGATACTCCCCTACTGGTGAGAGCCTTAGTATGTGCTGTCTTTGTTATTACATGGTCTATATCGCATCTGTTTCTCTCTCCCCTCCTTTCCTGGTTGGAAACACACATTTCAGCTGAATTTACAAACCCAATGACGCAAAATGCATTTTCCCCTCCCTGGCCTATTACACTCTCTCTCCTACTGTTTTCTGCTCTGAAACCTTCATTATGTTAACTGCTTCCTCGTGGGGCCATTGTCAGCCTCCATTAAACCAGATGCTCCCCAGTGACAGGGGGAGGCTGGGTCCTTGATGACACCCATCATTAACCTTATTAAACAACAGGAGAGTCTGTCCCTGGTAATCATTCAGCTGGTAGCATGCTCCTATGATGAAGATCAGGCTGTGATAAGACCAAAAAAGAAGGGTGTGTCTCAGCCTTAATTGCCTTCCCTGCTGGCTGGCAACACTGAAACTTCTCTTAAGAGCTAGACCTGCAATTTTGCTAATAGCCTTTTTAAAAAATTGAAACAAAAAGGCTTTTATGTTAATTTAAAATGGGGACTTTCACAAACATCTTTTAATTTTGTATTAATTTTTCAAAGAAGTTAAAAAATATTTCAGTTGTCCCTTCTTATTGAACTTTTGCTTGATCCTCCTAGTCACGTGGCATTTGCCTTCAAAGAAAAAAAGATTAAAAGATGACATTGAAACTTCACTGTGGAAGATTATAGTTTTCACAATGAAAAACGGACAGATCTGACACGTGGACATTTTCTAAAACGAATTTAAAAGCTTGCCTGGCTCCTGTGTGTTCTTTTTTTAAAGGGTGAGCCAAGGACATCTTTCACATTTTCACCATTTCTCCAAGATTTTCTCATTTTTTTGCCCAGCTCAGTCCCTTGCAACTTATTGCTTAGCTGTCCAGACTCTTATTAAAAGTGATAAAGCTTTCCCTGATGTTAAATCCAAAGAATCTCAGGCAAGACTTTAAAAAAAACAATCCAGGGGCCTAAAATTAGTCCCCTAGAAATTTATTTTGGTACCTAAATAAATTACCTCATTGTCAGCAATGCAAAACCGTCAGGAGATCCCAGCACAAACAGGAGGTCTGAATCCTCAGAAGCTTTCAAAATTAGGCCATTCACTCACTTATCTTGGTCTCAGACATAGGGGCTATATTTGTAGCTAATGATACTTGACTTTTTTGTCAAGCACCTTAGGATCTGTGGATGGATAGTGCTATATAAAAGCAAAAGTCCTGATTCACAAAAATAACTGAGCCATGCTACAGTCAGTAAGCCATAGGCTTAAATTTAGTCACTTGCTTAAGTCCCTTGCTGAATGGAGGCCTTGATACATGAAGTGATCATTTAATAAAGTTACTGTACTTCCATCAGCCAGCTGTCACTCACAGCATCCTGGGGTCTAAGGTCTGTATAGACTCCTAGGGAAGATGGCTCCTCAAGGAACCTCCCACCACACGCGGAGGTTTCCTTCGAGTTCTGCCCTCTGATCGGTGCCCAGCTCAGCCTGCCTTACACGACACCATTGCCCAAGCAGATGAGCAAGAGAAAATATAATACAGCATCAGGAACAGAGCAAGGCTGACCTTATGAATATTGGCAGGGCAGCCCCAGAGGGTATTGCATTGTAGGAAGGACAGCAAAGGACACCGTTGGCACCAGAAGCCTGCTTGTGTACATCTGCATCCACCCCATGGCCAGTGACCATCCACACTGAAGACCCCCATGCTTGTCTCCATAGCGTCTGCTTCCCCGCACCCAACCCTAACCCTGCCCACCCTCCCCCAGCCATTTGACC